CAGCTGGCGTAATTTTTCCCGTACATTAATTTCGGGTTTAAGTTCAGAAATTACTGCCTCGACTGCACCTTGGACTTTGACAGGTGAGGGTGAAACATCGCGACTGCTTTTGTGATAATATATTTAAACCATGGTCTATACAGTTTTTTCATCAGCTTTTCAAAATTGTTACAGAAGTAAAACGCTTCAGGTTCATAGAGGCACGTGTGCCTCCGCTGGCTCGGGTGATTCACAGAACAGCCGATACAATTCTCCTGCATGTCATCTTCGACGATCCGGTCCAGAATAAAGGCCAGTGATCCTTTGATTATCTTCATGGCAGAGTCGGTGATGCTCCCATCCACAGCATCTTCAGATAATGACAGTCCCGCAAAACGATCACTGAGCTCATCCATCGTCGGCAAAGGGGGCCTCGATGTGTCCATTAGGTCGGAGGTCTCCTGCGGAGGTTGCTGTTGTGATCCCGGCCACACAGCCCAGGTCGGGCTAGAAGGAGGTGGTGGCGGCAGGGGCCACTGCTGCAAGATCTGAGGATGCAGTGGCGGCAGGGGCCACTGCTGCAAGATCTGAGGAAGCGGTGGCAGGGCGTCCAGTCGCAGTTCAAAAGCTGATGCCCGAGGCCATGATGGGAATCGCAGGCCAGAAGGCGGTGCAGGCTCCAGTAGGGCGGCTTCAGGAGATGTCAGTTCGCTCGCCATTGCTTGCTGGGAGATGTGTCTCGTCGTGAGTGCTTGCTCACAGGATGGCGGGGTTTTAATACGTTTTCAACAAGGTCTTCTCTCATCTAATTGGTCGTCATCACCAGAAGTGGGCCGCCCACACTTTGTTCAAAATTTTTTCTCCAGTTTTATACAGATACATTCTTTATGCGAGAATATGTTGCACAGTGCTCCGTGCTTGCGCTGTCTCGACGGCTTGCGTGGAGCCCAAGTCGGGTTTAGCAGTACCAAGTTACGGGTAGGTGTCGTCGTCAAACTCGTTGCAAGCTCTGTCTGTATGATATCGGAAACATTTTGTCCTTCGGTCGCCATTTTCACCACTGATTTGACAGCGACGCTGCTATTTAAGTGTCTCTACGTGGAGAGCGAGTGAGAGAGAGAGCATGCGCTCATTTTAACAAGGGTTTACCTGGGGTGGGGTTCGAACCCACGCGGACATATGTCCATTGGTTCAGCCGTCGCCATTTTTAACGTGTTTCTGCCCCTCCCCTTCCCCCAGCGATTGAACATTTTAGCACAAGTTTTAAACTGGCAGGCCACGTATGGCCGAGCTGCGGGGCTAAAATGTTTGCTGGTTAAATGTTTTCTTCAACCTAACACTGGTAAATATCGCTAAAAGTTTTTCTTCTTCTTCTTTAAACACGTTGGTTAAATGTAATAGGTTTAAAATGTTTGTGCTTGTTTCGCATTTGCTCTTTTTTGCTTGTTTAAAAGTTAAAAGTTTGGGACTTGTGTCGTTTGTGCTTAAAATACGGTGTTTTTTTCTTGTCAGTGTTTCGCTCGGACA